TTCTCCTTGCCCTGAGAGCTGTGGGCACAGCCTGCAAGGCTGTGCATGGCACCCCAGCTTAGATTCAAACTGGCTTCTGTGGGGGTACTACGGATGGGACGGACAAGGGCAGGCGGGTGGGCCCCCAGAGTTCTCCCCCCACCCCGTGGCCGCCGGTCCTCTTACGACATGACTTGACAGCACGTCAAGTGGTGAGAAAAGCCAGCTCCTCGCGTTAATTAGCGTCTCCCCAGCTCCTACTCCCCCTCCCTCCCTCCTGGCCCTGCAGAATCTCAGCTGAGGGGTGGGTGCTCGAAGCCTGGCTTTCCTCCAGATCACCCCCACCTCCTGCCTGCCCTGTCTGAGCTGGAGCCTCCACCCAAGCCCCCTCTCTGGCCCTCAGCTTTCAGGCCTGGGTGGGAACAGGCAGGCCCAGGGTCTGGGGCTGGAGCTGGAGCTGGAGCTAGAGGGAGAACTCATCTGGGACAGGACTGAGCCTGCCAAGGACAGATGAGGCTACACCATCCTCTAGGCCACTGTCCACCGCTGATGGTGTGAGGCACAGGGACGGGTGGAGCTGAGGAACACGTTGGGGGTCTGCACTAAGCAGTATGAGTCACCAGACTCCAGTCAGCCTCCTGCATCCCAGGCCTCCGAGTAGCTGCCTGGGGATTAGGTGTTCTGATCAAATTAGGCTCCGAGCGGGGTGACGCAGAGGAAGAAGGCCTGGGGCTGGGACTCGGACGCCCTGGCCCCCACCCCCGGGGCCTCCCTTCCTCGGCTCAGTGCATCAAGAGCTGGCCCAGGCTCCTTCCTGACAAGCCGGCCCTTCTGTACAGCCGTCCTGGCGGCTGCTGCCCACTGCCCGGCCTTGCTCCCCTGGCTGTGGCCCCGTGACGCTGGGCAACCATGCACAAGGACTTCTCATGGGTCCCTGCGGCCCCATGTGGGAGCTCGTGGTGGTTGCCGGTGCCCGTTCCCATTCACAGGGACCTAGTGTGGGCCAAGACTGCGCCATGACCGCCTCTTACCGTCAACGCCCACACAGCTGCCATAGCCCCTCGTGGCCCCTCCGCCATAGCCACTAGTCTCGCCGTGGCCCCCAGTCGAACCGGCTGGTCCCGTCCCAATGCTGGGAGACAGAGAGGAGCAAGGGTCTCTGTGCCCAGACAATGCAGCAGGCGGGCAGAAGCTACTGTGTGCCTAGCTTTTATAGGTGGTCTGCTTTGAGAATGACAGCGCAGACCCCCTCATTGTTGGGGTGAGGACTGGGGGGCCGGGGCCAGTGGAAGCAGGCCTTGGGCTGCGGCCAAAGGGGCTGGACCCCTGAGGGTGCCAGTGAGGGGCCCTTGGCACCATGAGGGGAGGGGGCGCAGACGCAGTACAGATGGTGGTGGCCTCTGCGTCCTGGAGGGTCCAGTCCTGGAAGGAAGCCCTCCTGGCAGGAGTCATGGAGGGAATCTTGGTTCCATAACCCAGTTGGGGGGCTGGGGGGCACAGACCTGCAGTCACTATAGGGGCAGGCTCTCAGGAGTGCTGACCCTGGGGACCAGGGAGTGTTGGGGGCGGGGGTTTGCATTGTGAGCCCCCTGGGAGCCTTTGCTCCCTTCCCACCCTCCCTGCCCCAGTGGCTCAGCCTAGATCAGCCCAAGGCAGACCTTCCTCTCAGGCCTCTGGATCTTTCCTGTTTGGGGCAGTGACTGGTCCTTTTCCCGCCGGAAGGGCTCTGCCTCTTGTCCAGAGTCACCCTGTCCAGGAATTTGCAGTAAGCCCAGAGCCCCACCCTCCTCACACCTCCAGGCCAGAGGGCTGCTTGGGGAGGCCAGGGGGGCACGGATGCTGAGACCGAGGGGACAGTGCAGACAGAGGCCTGTCCCCAGCCGGAACACATGGGCACTCAGCTCAGGCTGGTCAAGGGGCAGGAAGGGAGAGACCACCGTGGGCAAGACCACAACCCGGGTGCCACTATTCTGAGGTCAGCAGCACCAGGACTGGAGGGCCTGGTCATCAGTGGCTGTGTGTGGCTTCTACTAGCAGCAGGGGTGGGGTGGGGGGAGAGGGATCTTTTGGAGCCCCCTTTGGGTGGACAGGCTTGCACTCAAACCCAAGACCTCGACACACCCCAGCCCATCCGGGGTGCAAGGGACTCGGAGATAAGGGGCGCCTGCAGCTCGTGGGCCACCCGCCCATCTCAGAACTGCCCGCCAGCCTCCTTCCTGTCACTGTTTAACTGAGAGGCGGCAGCTCTCAGCGTGCGGAGGGCCCAGCCTCGGGCTCAGGGGAAGCGGCTGCTGGAGCCTCAGCCCAGGGGGGCGCTGTGGGCCTGCCAACAGCCCTTCGGCCAGGTCCGGCCGCGCGAGCAGGATGGCTGCTGGGGCTCAGGCAGGACTCGAGGACTTCCTGAGTGGATGTGTTAGTCTTGGACCCGAGCACTGGGGAGGCGGGGTAGTTCGTTCCAGGTGGGCCGGGGATGCCTCGCCCCTCTAGTAGGGGCGACTGGGCCAGTACCAGGAGGGCTTGCCCCTGTTCAACCCCTTTTGTCCCTCTTGGGGGTCCCCTGGGGGCCAGGGCTGGGTGGATAGTACAGGCAGGATGGACCGTCTGCTGGGCGTGGCAGGCAGGGAGCTCAGCCAGCTGTGGGTTTGCCTTGGGGCTGGAGAGACG